AAGCCGGAAGGCCCGCCAAGAGGGCATTACAATAGTCCAGTCTGGAGAGAACAAGAGCTTGGACGGGGAGTTGTGTGGCCTGCTCTGATAGGAAGGGTCTAATCTTCCTAATGTTGTATAAGGCTAATCTGCAGGACCATGCCGTTGTAGCAATATGGTCTGTGAAGCTTAACTACTCATCGATCACAACTCCAAGGTTCCTGGCTGTCCTGGAAGGAGTTATGGTTGGCAAACCTAGCTGTATAGAGAAGTTGTGATGAAGTGATGGGTAGGCTGAGACCACGAGCAGTTCGGTCTTAGCAAGGTTGAGTTGAAGGTGATGGTCCTTCATCCAGTCAGAAATGTCTGTCAGGCAGGCTGCAATGCGACCAGCTACCGTCGGATCATCTGGTTGAAATGAGAAGTAGAGTCGAGTGTCATCAGCATTGCAGTGATAGGAAAAGCCATGTTTCTGAATGAACAAGAGCTTGGACGGGGAGTTGTGTGGCCTGCTCTGATAGGAAGGGTCTAATCTTCCTAATGTTGTATAAGGCTAATCTGCAGGACCATGCCGTTGTAGCAATATGGTCTGTGAAGCTTAACTACTCATCGATCACAACTCCAAGGTTCCTGGCTGTCCTGGAAGGAGTTATGGTTGGCAAACCTAGCTGTATAGAGAAGTTGTGATGAAGTGATGGGTAGGCTGAGACCACGAGCAGTTCGGTCTTAGCAAGGTTGAGTTGAAGGTGATGGTCCTTCATCCAGTCAGAAATGTCTGTCAGGCAGGCTGCAATGCGACCAGCTACCGTCGGATCATCTGGTTGAAATGAGAAGTAGAGTCGAGTGTCATCAGCATTGCAGTGATAGGAAAAGCCATGTTTCTGAATGACGGATCCTAATGATGACATGTAAATGGAGAAGAGAAGTGGTCCAAGCACTGAGCCCTGAGGAACCCCAGTAGCAAGAAGTTGTGACTTTGAAACCTCACCCCTCCAAGACACCCTGAAGAACCTACCTGAGAGGTCAAACTTGAACCACTGGAGTGTGGTTCCTGAGATGCCCATCTTAATGAGGGTGGACAGGAGGATCTGGTGGTTAACTGTGTCAAAAGCAGCAGACAGATCCACCAAGATGAGTACTGAGGATTTGGAAGCTGCTCTTGCCAGTCTCAGGGCTTCAGTAACCGAGAGCAGGGCAGTCTCAGTTGAGTGGCTGCTTTTGAAGCCAAATTGGTTGTTTTCCAGGAGGTTGTTCTGTGCGAGAAACATAGAGAGTTGGTTGAACACAACTCACTCAAATGTTTTTGCAATGAATGGAAAAAGAGACACCGGTCTGTGGTTTTCTAAAAGTGCTGGATTTAGAGAGGTTTTCTTAAGCAGTGGGGTTACCCGAGCCTGCTTAAATGCTGTGGGAAATGTACCAGTGTGTAGAGAGGTGTTGATAATGTGAGTGAGCACAAGTATAACTGAAGAAGAAATGGCCTGAAGGAGGTGAGTGGGGATAGGATCAAGCGGACAGGTAGCAGGATGATTGGAAAGGATATGTTTGGAAACTTCTGCCTCAGAGAGTGGAGAGAATGAGGAAAGAGACTGTATTTGTTGTTATGATGTGTTTGTGGTGTGGAGAATTGGCCGCTGATGGTTGTTGTTTTATTGCTGAAGAATATTGCAAAGTCGTTGAAGAAGAGAAGAGATGAAGTGTGCGAGAGTCAGAACAATTGCTAATTTTGTTGTGATAGTATGTCGTTTTAGCTGTGGAGACGTTTGCAGAGAAGGAAGAGAGGAGAGACTGAAAACAGAGGGTGGAGGAAGTGAGGATGAAACCGTAGAGGATACGTGAGCGGGAGAGAGGGAGCGTAGGTAATTACAGTAATATAATTAATTATTGTTGTTGTAATTACTATAATGATGATTATTAATAATAATATTTTATTATCTATAATTAACATTAGTTTTTTTGTCATTTTGGGCATGCCTAATGACATACAAAGTTTGAAGTATTGTTTATATTGCAGATGACAACCTGGCCAATGCATTGTAAGTATGTGATCTACTGTACATGGATGTGTACCCCTGGATGTGTTATTTTTATTATTATTATTATTATTATTATTATGATTGTGGACAAGGCCTTTGAGATCGGAAAAACCAGTTGGAATTCAATGTAGTTTAAAGTAAGTCTTAGTTTCTACTCTGCTCTCACTGGCATATCTGGCTTGATTTTCCCTTGATAAAGTGTTCCTACTGGCTCAGGAGGGGCTGTAGGACAGTCAGCAGATGACTGAAGATAATGATCCAGCTGGTGTCTGTTGCACAAACCTGTACAGTTCAGGCCTGTTATCAGTCCTCCATGGACTTCAGTCGCAAATGTCACCTCCTTCACATCCTAATGACTGACTCAGATAAACATTAGACCAGTACTAGACCACTTCACAGTCCAGATCCAGTCCTTCTGAGAGAGATCAAACTATCAGTGAAGCTGAAGTCTTCATATTACTCTGCAGTGCTGAGGATATACAGTATATTGATTTTTGACAGTAGCTCGGCTGTTTTCAAGACTTTAGCAAAAGACAAAATTAATCACTGCATTTGTTAAGCAAAGACAAATGAAACATGCTCAGCTGGAATATTCCCCTCCCTCCATTTGTTCGGTTCGGTGAACTGGTTCTGGTGGTTTGTTTCAGGAATCAGTCTGTACATGCGGTTCATTTCACTGCACTGATCTGCTGATTCATGAGAATAATCTCATTTCATGACAAATAGAGTTTTACTCCTGCTTTTATGTTGTAAAATGTTTAGTTACATGATATTAATCACAATTCAGCATTTTTTTTTTTCTTTTGGATAATGGTGTGCATGTGGGTTAAAGATGAATGCTGTCGGTCTAACTGAGATCTTCATTGTTTGTGTGCCATAAAAATACATATCTGTTTTTAAAAATGCATATAATCTGACTATTATCTAAAAGATATTGCTCTTTTAAATGGTGTAGATTTAGTTCGCTACTTAAAAAAAAAAAATTAGCTCTGTTTGTTTGAGAATTCTGACACAGCATCACTGGCTCAACCAATGGCATGAGATTGTGGCGGGACTGTTTTTTTTTTGACCAATGGCAGATGGGGGAGTGTTCGGGGAAACTTGTTTAAAAACAAACTTTATTTTTGCAGTTCCACTTGGTGATTCAGTGGCGGAGGAATCACATACTTCAACTTTAACAGTTCTTTGATGATATTAATGGTTCAATTTAGAACTATATCTGTCTGAAGAAGAATTACTTTTATTATTATTGTTATTATTATTATTATGACAGTGATAAAGTGGAATCACTGTATTATTATTATTTTGTTATTAATATTTATACACTTGAAATATAATTTTTGCGTTTCATTTTTTTTCTGTGGCATAGAGATCAAATAGTTCAACTTTAAAGGTTATTTGAGTGGTTCAATTTAGAACTATATCTTTCTGAAGAATTATTCATATTGCTATTATTATTATTATTATTACAGTAACATGTAATAACTGTACTATTATCATTACTATTATTATTGTTTTTCATATTTATAAGTTTAATGTAAATCTAACATTATCAAGATGAATTTATTCTGACACAGTTTAACTCTGAGTTCTTGTCATATTTTATTATATGACATAATAAAACATACCATTTTCTAAACTATAGTGAATAAACTGTGATAATGTGAGAGATGCTGAAGGTGTCTGAATACATTTTGGTTTGACTATCTATTTGATAAATGAAGTTAACCAACTAACATTATACATACTCTTTTGGTTTCTGTACCCAATATTTAAAAAATGTACAAATGCAATAAAAATATCGGTATCGGTACTCAGTATCGGCAAGTACCAAAAATAAAAGTATCGGTATCGGGCGAGTACTGGAAAAAGTGGTATCGATGCATCCCTAGTAAATATAAATTTAGCATTTCTAGTAAATTATATATTTTTGGCGATGCAGTGACAGAGAAATCGCATAGTTCAACTTTATTGTTTTTTGATTGTGTTTCTGAAGAAGAATTATTATCACAGTAATAAAATATAAGAACTTTTTTTTTTGCGTATGATTCATGTTTATACATTTACATTAAATGTAAATTCAGTGGTTCTTTTATATTAATGGTTCAATTAAGAACCATATATGTCTGAACTGTATTATTAATAATAATCATATACATTTTTATACATTTAATTTAAATATAAATGTAGCATTTAAAGTTTTTTGGTGATTCATTGGTGGAGAAATCGCAAGGTTCAACTTTAATGCTTCTTTGATGATATTAATGGTTAAATTTAGAAGCGTAACCCGTAAGGTACTTGACTTTTAATGAGACTAGTTTAATTTGAGCTTTTTTTGTTAGTTTTAATGAGCAGAACATGTTTGTTGAGGATCGTGGAGGTTGTGCTGCATTTGAAGGCGTGCAGTGATTGATGCTTCATGATTTTCAGCTGAACTCCTGCGTGTTTTCCTCCATCTGTTAAACAGAAACTCATACTCATTCTTAGAGCTTTGTTATTTGGCTCGTATTTTACCGTTTCCCACCCTGCCGTGCGGCCAATCATCTTTCAGACCCTGCAGGACTGTCCCTGCGCTGCTATTGGCTGACAGCTTTTCTGAGCTCCTTCAATGCATCTGCACTTTCATTAGTAGCCAAATTATAAACATCTGCAGTCATGCTGCAGTGAACATTTATTTATGAAGTATTGGTACTTTAATATATTGCTTAAAACTGAATGTTTTTACTCACAACCCCATTGGTTGGTGATTGTTAAGCATGCATGAGTCATTTGTTGATGCTGTGCATGTTAATGTGCCTGTTAATGACAGCAGCATCGTGAAATGCTTTCAAAAGCTTTGTGTTCTCTAGTTATCTAAGCGCTTGTTTATCTGGATGTGGGATGTTTTGGACTGGACTCTGTGCTGGAAGGTGGACTTTGTGTCAGCCAGTAATCTTTCCCAGAGAAACACCTCCCTGAGTGGAGGAGGAAAAACCTCTGTTGGATAATGATATATAAAGAAAAACAGAACATGCCCTCGTCCCTCCAGAGCTCCAGTCGTCATCCTGTCACTCCATCAGACAGAGGAACCCAGTCACAGGTCAGTTCACCATGTTTGTGTCATCTTCAATTAATAATAGAACTATATTATGTAAAAATATAATTATTTTTAAAATACAATTTTAAATGAAATATTTAATAAAATTAAATTTTTTAAAAGAACTTTTGACATTGTTTTTAAATGTGTACAATTATTAATAAATATGTGATATTAGCATGCAAAAACGATTTAAAATCGTGCAATTTTTTTTTTCATTTGAATGCAATGTATTCTTTTTAATATTATTTATATTGTGCAAAAGTTCTAATTCCTATAAATAGCAAAAGCATACAAAATAAGCTGAAATATTTTGATCTTTGCTTGTTGCATACAAATGCATACTACAGACTCTATTTTTCTTCCATTAAAAACATTTTTAAGAACTTCATACACAGTTTATAATTGTCCATAACATTAATTTCAAGCATCTCAGCAGAAGCCTTTTGATCAAAATAATTTAAAACCGTCAGAAATATACATTCAGGCAAAGCTTTTGACTCCTGGTGTAAATATTTACAACATATGCAAATGTTCTCAAAGTAAAGATCAAAAGGCTTCTGCTGAGATGCTTGAAATTAGTGTTATGGACTATTATAAACTGTGTATGAAGTTCTTAAATGTTTTTAAGGGAAGAAAAATAGAGTCTGCTGTAGTATGCATTTGTATGCAACAAGTGTGCAGCATAATGCGAATGCTTTCAATGCTGGTTAATAAATGTCCAGAAGAGCTCAAATATATGAGATATATGTTTTGGTCTCTGTGTGATTTTCATCCTTTTATTATTCTAAAACATGCAAAATAGTCATAATGAAGAATAAGCTGGTGTGGCCAAACTTTTGACCATGCGTTTTATGATCAGAAGTATTGTAATGCAGTGACTGTGCATGTGTTTTCAGCTGTCAGTATGGTGGGTCTGAAGCCATCTGATGTTCCTCCTCCTCTGGGTGTGAAGGTTCTCAGCGCAGGAACGGCCGCCTGCATCGCTGATTTAGTCACCTTCCCTCTGGACACCGCGAAAGTGCGGCTACAGGTACAGACTTCAACCTGATACCAGCCTCGGGATCTGTTGCATTTCTGTGATTTGCACAAATAATATATTTATTATTATGATACAAATTACATGAACAATTCTAAATTCTATTTTTAAGATTTCTAAAAAAAATTTTAAATTTCTTTGTTTTCTAAAAATTGACTTTCAAATATGATATTTTCGATGATGAATATTTTTTGTTCGTTTTTGCTACATTCTTTAAATAAAGCTTCCAAAAGGTGGTTTTTGCAGCGATGCCATAGAAGAACCATTCTGGGTTCCCCAAAAGAAGCTTTCAGTCAACAGCTCTTAATAGAATCCTTTTTTTAGTGTGAAGAACATTTGAAAGAACATTTTCCCACTTTTGTTGAATGGAAAGATTCTGTGGATGTTAAAGGTTCTTTATCGATCTATCATTTCTATTTGAAACGATAGATAATTTCAAAAATGAAAAAAAGAAGAAGAAAAAGAAAAAAAGTCATTTTTGTTTAAACTTGTTGTAATGCTTAATGAGATTGCCCAAGAATCAGTAAAAAATAAATATATATATATATGTATATTTACACTGTTACATTTATTTCAAAATATACAAAAAATAGCCGACAGACAGAGAAACAGACAGACAGACCGAGAGAAACAGACAGACAGACCGA